AAAGCAAAAAAAAAAAAAAAAAAGGGGGAAGTGAAGCGGCGCGTTGAGAAAACGTAGTGGAAGAGCGTGGAAGAGGAAATCGGAAGCTCATAATTAGTTGCATTAAATGCACAGATTCGGAGCCTCGGGGATACACGGTAGCCGTGATGAATGTTCCTCCTCTTGTCTCGTCTATGCCGCTCCCTTCTGCTTTCCTCTTCATTGGATTGGACAAACGATTTAAAGTATTAATTTAATCTGAATAATATTTTGGCAATAATTGCTGGTGAAAACAACTAGGTGCCATATAAATTTAAACCAAAAAATTAGGCCAAATACATATGCAACCTATTCAACTTGAATATTATTTTTCGTTTTGGCATTTTATCTCTATCTTGTTCCATTTTAGCCCTTCAATTTTATTTTATATATTCTATTTTGGCCTCCAGCTCTATTTTATATGTTCTATTTTGGTCCTCCAACTTAATTTCTTATGTTTCACTTTAACACAAAAGCTGAAACCGACACAAAAAAATATAGCGTGTGTGTATACACAAATTTGAGGTGTAATAAATATCCGATTAAATATTGTCACATGAGTTTTTCATCCATGTCAAATGGATCAATACTAAAATACCCAAACCCGACCATATTTTTTTTGGGTTTATTTCATCTAAACGGGCCAGGTATGAAATCGGCAGATGAAAGCTTTGGAACTTTGAGAATGAAGATGAGGTAACAGTGGATGAAAAAATACGATCGGGTTCGGGTATTTTAGTATTGACCCATTTGACATGGATGAAAAAGCTAGGTAAAAATATTTGATTGGATAATTATTACACCTCAGATTTGTATACACACGCGCTATATTTTTTGCATTGGTTTTAGCTTTTGTATTAAAGTGAAACATAAAAATAGAATTAGAGGGCCAAAATGGAACATATAAAGTAGAGTTGAAGGGCCAAAATGGAACAAGGTAGAGATAGAGTGTCAAAATAAAAAATGGTGTCAAGCTGAATGAGTTGTATATGTATTTGGCCAAAAAATTAAAAGCAATACGCTTATTCGACAGTAAGTCGGATCAGAAGCAGTGGCGGAGCCACATTGAACAACATCCCTTCGTCGGAAAATTATACTATATTGTTAGATAATTTTTTTTATTTTATATATTTTTATAATATGCTGACTCCCCTTGACTTTTCAATATATTTAATTATTTATATTTGATATCCATTGATGAAAATTCTGGCTCCGCCACTGATTAGGAGGTTCTTGTTTTCGTATAAAACTTGTCAAAATACCGTAAAATGTACATCTTCTCCCAAATACTGTTGTGAATATAGATGTTGGTGGCTGTTATACATAAAACTGTAGTGGATTGGGTAAAGTTTCATGTGTTTGGCGAAGTTTTCTAATCTTGATAAAATAGAATTGTAAAACAAAACGTTTAACATTACGATAATGAAAATGAAAAATAAAAATAAAAAATCAAGACTATATTAGCACATGTTTTTTGTAATTTAGGACCTCCCAGACCAATCTCATTTTTATTTTATTTTTCTAAAACATGATATTTTTGTAGTTTCTCTTTCACTTTCTCTCCTACCATCTTGAACCACCCATATCATTAAAAGACTTATAACCTGTTTGGCCAAATTTTCTTGGGGCTAAAAGTGTTTTTTTTTTTGGCAAAAATACTTTTGGCCAAAAATTGAGGTGTTTGGCCAAACTTTTGGAAGGAAAAAAAATGCTTTTGAGGAGAAGCAGAAGCAGTTTTGGAAAAGCAGAAAAAAGTAGTTTTTCTCCAAAAGCACTTTTCTGAGAAGCACTTTTGAAAAAAATACACTTAGAAGCAGTTTTCAAAAGCTTGGCCAAACATTAATTACTGCTCAAAAGTGTTTTTCTAATTAATTAGTCAAACACAAACTACTTCTCACAAAAAACTCTTTTTTTAAAAGTACTTTTAGAAAAAACACTTATGAAAATAAACTGATTTTATAAGTTTGGCAAACGGGCTATTAATCATATTCTTCCTTTACCATTCTTATTAGTACTATGCTTTCTAATTTGTGGATAATCCAACAGAAGATAGGTAAAGATTTGAGTATTTGTGTAGCTATTTGATGAAGAATTTTGTGAGAAAATAAAAATGGAA